CTACTACCTGTAGACTGATGAGGTAGGCTCGTATAGGCTTAGTTGACACTTGACACTCGTAGAGACCAGTGTCATGGATGGTGGGGTTTCGTATTTGTAGCGTCCATGTCATTGGTACCTTCTTCCACGATGTAGCGCAGAGAACCTGTGATCACTGGTGTAGGTGAACGATCCAACCGTCAGGATGTGTGTGTCCCTGTGTCTGATCCATGACACCTGTAACATAACAATGTGTGATGACTGATGTAGGTGAAGGATCCCACAGTCAGGATGTGTGTGTCCTGTGTCCTGATCCATGACACCCTGTAACATAACAATGTGTGATGACTGGTGTAGTGAAGGATCTCCAGTCAGGATGTGTGTGTCCCTGTGTCTGATCCATGACAAAACCTGTAAACCATAACAATGTGGATGACGGTGTAGTGAAGGATCCCACCGTCAGAATGTGTGTTCCCTGTGTCTGATCCATGACACCTGTAACAGTAACAATCTGTGATGACTGGTGTAGTGAAGGATCTCAACAGGTCAGGATGTGTGTGTCCCTGTGTCTAACGCCATGACCACCCTGTAACATAACAATGTGTTGATGATCTGGTGTAGGTGAAGGATCCCACCGTCAGGATGGTGTGTGTCCCTGTGTCTGATCCATGACACCTGTAGCATAACAATGTGTGATGACGGTGTAGTGAAGGATCCCACCGCAGTTGTGTGTGTCCCTGGTGTGTCCTGATCTCCATGACACCTGTAACATAAACAATGTGTTATGACTGTGTGATAGGTAAGGATCTCACCTCAGGATGTTTTGTGTCCCTGTTCTGATCCATGTGACACCTGTAACATAACAATGTTGTTTGACTGTGTAGTGAAGGATCCCACAGTCCAGGATGTGTGGTGTCCCCTGTGTCTGATCCTACAACCTGTAACATAACAATGTGTATGACTGGGTAGGTGAAGGATATCACCGTCAGATTGTGTGTGTCCCTGTGTCTGAATTCCCATGACACTGTAACATACCAATGTTGATGACTGGTGTAGGTTGATAGGATCCCACCGTCAGGATGTGTGTGTCCCCTGTGTCTGATCCATGACAACACCAGTAACATAACAATGTGTGATACTGTGTAGGTGAAGGATCTACCGTCAGATGTTGTGTCCCTGTGTCTGACCATGACACCCTGTAACATAACAATGTGTGTTGACTGGTGTAGGTTGAAGGATCCCAACATCAGGATGTGTGTGTCCCCTGTGTCTGATCCATGACACCTGTAACATAACAAAATGGTGTGATGAACTGGTGTAGGTAAGGATCCCACAGTCAGGATTTGTGTCCCTGAGTCTGATCCATGACGCCTGTAACATAACAATGTGTGATGATTGTTTGGTGAAGGATCTCACCGTCAGATGTGTGTGTCCCTGGTCAATCCATGACACCTGTAACATAAACAATGGTGATGACTGGTGTTAGGTGAAGGATCCCACCGTCCAGGATGTGTGTATCCCTGTGTTCTGATCCATGACACCTGTAACATAACAATGTGTGAAGACTGGTGTAGGTGAAGGATCCCACAGTCAGGATGGTGTGTGGCCCTGTGTCTGATCCATGACACCAGTAACATAACAATGTGTGAATGACTGGTGGTAGGTGAAGGATCTCACCGTCAGTGTGTGTGTCCCTGTGTCATGATCCATGACACCTGTAACATAACCAATGTGTGAATGAACTGGTTGTAGGTGAAGGATCTCACAAGTCAGGATGTGTGTGGTCCCTGTTCTGTATCCATGATTCCTGTAACAACATAACAATGTGTATGACTGGTGTAGGTGAAGGATCCCACAGTCAGGATGTGTGGTGTCCCTGTGTCTGATCCATGACACCTGTAACATAACAATGTGTTGTTGGACTGTGTAGGTGAAGGATCCCACTGTCAGGATGTGTGTGTCCCTGTGTCTGATCATACACCTGTAACATAACAATGTGTGAATGACTGGTGTAGGTGAAGGATCCCACAGTCAGGATGTGTGTGTCCCAGATTGTCTGATTCCATGACACCTGAAAAAATAACAATGTGTGTGACTGGTTGTATGTGAAGGATCCTCACCGTCAGGATGTGTGTGTCCCTGTGTCGATCCATGACACCTGTAACATAACAATGTGGTGATGGACTGGTGTAGGTGAAGATCTCACCGTCAGGATGAGTGTGTCCCTGTGTCTGATCCCATGACACCTGTAACATAACAATGTGTGATGACTGTGTAGGTGAAGTCTCACACCGTCAGGATGTGTGTGTCCCTGTGTCTGATCCATGACACCTGTAACATAACAATGTGTGATGACTGGTGTAGTGAAGGATCTCACCGTCAGGATGTGTGTGTCCCTGTCTGATCCATGACACCTGTAACATAACAATGTGTGATGACTGGCGTAAGGTGAAGGATCTCACCGTCAGGATGTGTGGTGATCCCCTGTGGTCTGATCCATGACAACCTGTACCATAAAAATTTGTGATGATGGTGTAGTGAAGGATCCCTCATCAGGATGTGTGTGTCCCTGTGTCTGATCCTTATGACACCTGTAAACATCACAATGTGTGATTGACTGGTGTAGGTAAGGATCCCACAGTCAGGATGTGTGTGTCCCCTGCGTCTGATCCATGACACCTGTAACAATAAACAATGTGTGATGACTGGTGTTAGGTGAAGGATCTCACAGTCCAGATGTGTTGTTCCCTGTGTCCTGATCCATGACACCCTGACATAACAATGTGTGATGACTGGTGTAGTGCACGATCTCACAGTCAGGATGTGGTGTTCCCTGTGTCTGATCCATGACACCTGTAACATAATCAATGTGTGATGACTGGTGTAGGTGAAGATCCACAGTCAGGATGTGTTGTCCCTGTGTCTGATCCATGACACCTGTAACATAACAATGTGTGAAGACTGGTGTATGGTGAACGAATCTCACAGTCCAGGATGTGTGTGTCCCTGTTTCTGATCCATGACACCTGTAACATAACAATGTGTGATGACTGGTGTAGGTGAAGGATCTCACAGTCAGGATGTGTGTGTCCCTGTGTCTGATCCATGACACCTGTAACATAACAATTTGTGGGATGACTTGGGGGTGGGAGAGGGGTGGGAATGCAGGAGGGGCTGATCTCGACAGTGCATGGGGATGTTGGGGTGGGTGGCCGCTGTGTCTGATCCATGAACCGAGGGTAGGGGGGAGGGGCAATAACTATGGGTGTGTGACTGATGTAGTGTAACAAAACACATTCCTTCACAGTCCAACACATTGTACCAGAAAATCACAAAAATAAGAAAGAAAGAGAGAGTAAGAAAGGCAAGCAGAGTTTCTCTGACAATCTTGGTCCTTCTCCCACTGTCATTATCATCACTCACTTGAGATACAATCCTTAAGTTGTGCTCTCTCTCTCTCCTCTCCTCTCTCTCCTTCCTCTCTCACTCTCTTCTCCCTCTTCTTCTCTCCTTCTCTCCATCTCTCTCTCTCTCCTCTCTCCTCTCTAACTCCTCTCTCTCTCTCTCTTCTCACCTTCCTCTCTCTCTCTCTCTCTCTCTCTCTCCTCTCTCTCTCATGCCTCTCTCTCTCTCTCTCTCTCTCTCCCTCTCTCATTCATAAAAAATAAAAGGCATGAATAAGAAATAAGTGATGTGGGTAATCAAAGAGAACAAGAATAACTACGTAATAATAATAATTATAATAATAAATTACTCATCAGATAAGTAATTAACTACATGGATAAAATATAAAAAAAGTGACATTTACCCCAACAAAAAAGGCAGAATAAAAGTCTTTCACAAATCAGCCATTTTGCCCCACTAGAAGTAATATATTGTGTCATGAAGGAGCCTTTATAAATGTATTTCTGACTGGCCAGAAATACAGCAAGACTCAGGTCGAAAACCATGGTGGATGATCCGGCCCTGGGGAGCATGCTGGGCCAGGTAGTGGATCATCCATGTGGATGATGGTAGTGAAGCAGGAAGCAAGGTGGATGATGGTAGTGAAGGAGGAAGCATGGTGGATGATGGTAGTGAAGCAGGAAGCAAGGTGGATGATGGTAGTGAAGGAGGAAGCAAGGGGATGATGGTAACTGAAGCAGGAAGCAAGGTGGATGATGGTCGTGAAGGAGGAAGCAAGTGATGAATGGTAGGATGCAGAAGCAAGTGGAGATGGTAGTGAAGCAGGAAGCAAGTGGACATGGTAGTGAAGCAGGAAGCAAGGTGGATGATGGTAGTGAAGCAGGAAGCAAGGTGGATGATGGTAGTGAAGCAGGAAGCATGGTGGTTGATGGTAGTGAAGCAGGAAGCAAGGTGGATGATGGTAAAGAATCAGAGCAAGTGGATGAGGTAGTGAAAAACAGGAAGCATGGTGGATGATGGGAAGTGAAGGCAGGAAGCAAGGAGGATGAGGTAAGTGAAAGCAGTAAGCATGGTGGGATGATGGTAGTGGAGCAGAAGCATGGTGGATGATGTTAAGTGAAGCAGGAAGCAAGGTGATGATGGTAGTGAAGCAGGAAGCATGGGGGATGATGGTAGTGGAAAGCAGGAAGCATGGTGGATGATGGTAGTGAAGCAGGAAGCATGGTGGATGATGGTAGTGAAGGAGGAAGCAAGGTGGATGATGGTAGTGAAGCAGGAAGCAAGGTGGATGATGGTGTAGTGAAGCAGGAAGCAAGGAGATGATGGTTAGTGAAGCAGGAAGTCAAGGTTGGATGATGGTAGTGAAGGAGGAAGCAAGTTTGTATGATGGTAATTGAAGCAGGAAGCATGTGGATGATGGGAGTGAAGGAGAGCAGGTGGAATGAGGTAGTGAAGCAGGAAGCAAGGTGGATGATGGTAGTGAAACAGGAAGCAAGGTGGATGATGGTAGTGAAGCAGGAGCTAGGTGGATATGGTAGTGAAGCAGGAAGCGAGCAAGGTGGATGATGGTATGAAGCAGGAAGCAAGGTGGATGATGGTAGTGAAGCAGGAATCAAGGTGGAATGATGGTAGTGAAAGCAGAAGCAAGGTGGATGATGGTAAGTGAGCAGGAAGCAAGGTGGATGATGGTAGTGAAGCAGGAAGCAAGGGATGATGGAGTGAAAGTCAGGAAGCAAGGTGGATGATGGTAGTGAAGCAGAAGCAAGGTGATGATGGTAGTGAAGCAGAAGCAAGGAGATGATGGTAAGAAACAGGAAGCATGGTGGATTCTG